CATTCGGTAGAATTTATAGAATATTGTAAAAATTATGGTCTATTACCAACACATATATATATATATATATATATATATATATATATATATATATATATAGTACTGTATAAAATATGAGAAAGAGAGAGAGTGAGTGAGAGAAAGAGTACACACATTCTGATTCAAAATTCAAGAATTTTACGAAAAAAAAAAACAATAAATGAAATTTTAAAAAATGTAATACGTACAAAATAGAGAAGATCAGATGGAATCAGTAACAAAACATGCATTAACGAAATAATGGAGTAACTGTGTGTGTGTGTGTGTGTGTGTGTTTGTGTTTATGTGAATGTATGTGTGAGTGTTTGCGTGTGTGTGTGTGTGTGTTTGTGTTTATGTGAATGTATGTGTGAGTGTTTGCGTGTGTGTGTGTGTTTGTGTTTATGTGAATGTATGTGTGTGTGTGTGTGTGTGTTTGTGTTTATGTGAATGTATGTGTGAGTGTTTGCGTGTGTGTGTGTGAGTTTGCGGGAGTGTGTATGTGATTGTTTTCATATATAACTAACTGACAACAATTTTTAAGTACATTATCAAATTAGATTCATGAAATTGCCAGCATTTCAATTACCAATTTTCCCATCTTATAATTTTTTATTATTATTATAATTTTTTATTATTATTATAATTTTTTATTATTATTATAATTTTTTATTATTATTATAATTTTTTATTATTAATATAATTTTTTATTATTATTATAATTTTTATTATTCATAATTATATTCGCTATATTTTCCCCAATTGTTATTCTATCAGTTCAACTAAGAGACAGTCTTCATCATCATCGAGACTAATTACGTTACCATTATTATTATTATTATTACTATGATTATTATTATGACTATGATTATTATTATGACTATGATTATTATTATGACTATGATTATTATTATTATGACTATTATTATTATTATTTATGACGTCATCAATTTTATCACCATCATCGTCATCGTCGCAATCGACCACTTCCTGCACGTTTCCATCGGCACACAAAACGACGTCATCATCATCATCATCAGCAACAACATTGTAATTAAAACAATCGTCATGGATATTATTATTATTGTTGTTATTATTATTATTATCATAATAATAATAATTCTTATCGTCATAATCATCACCATCGTCGTCATCATCATCATAATAATAATCGTTTTGCGCCTTATCAGGGTATATATCAAAATCACCATCTTCGAAATAATCATCATCACCTACACCATCGTCATCATCATCCTCATCATCGTCATCACAGGCATCACCATCAAGACCCTCTTCATCATCATCGTCGTCACCTTCATCATCATAATAATCATTGTTGCCATAAATATCGTATTTACAAAAATCATAATTCTGATTATTATTATTATTATATTTATTATTATTATTATATTTATTATTATTATTATTATTCTTATCACCACCTGAATTTTCGATGTAGAAATAGTTTCTATCATTGCAATAGAACGTGGAATTCTTAATGGAATATGTAATGTTATTTATCTGTGGCTTTAATGATGTGCTTCTACTACTACTATCGTTGTTGTTGTTGTTGTTGTTTAGGTCGAAGTTGTTGTTTCTGAAAGACGAATTCTTAATTAATGGCGATACTGATGTTGTTGCTAGCATTGTTGATGTCATTGATTGTTGGTGTTGTTGATGTTGTTGTTGTTGTGGTCTCCTACAGGCTATTGTTATCCTTTTATTAAAAAATTTGGTAAATTTTGAATTGGTGTTTTTATGTTGTAGTTGTTGTTGCTGATGTTGTTGTTGTGTGTTTGCTGTTTGAATATGTTGTTGTTGTTGTGTGTTTGCTGTTTGAATATGTTGTTGTTGTTGTTGGCATTTTTTAATATTGGTAGGAGGGAATGATGAATACCTACGTATGTTGGTGTTTTTGTTGATGTTATTGAAGTTGTTATAGTAGTAATTGTTGCTGTTGTTGTTGTTTCGACTGGCTGTTGTCAGCAAAGGTTTCATAGGTTTTAAAGGCACCTGGGAAAAGCAGCTTTGTTTGTTGTTGCTGTAACCGTTTAGGTTGTTGCTAGTGTTGTAATTGTTAGTGAAATTGTTGTTGTTGTTGTAGTTGTTGTTAGACAGATGTTGTTTACTGGGCGACAGTACTGGTGTACTAGTTTGCAAAGGTCTGCAAAATAATTTGGCGAAGTTTGAAGCTTCGTTTGGCTGTGGCTGTTGTTGTTGCAGCTGCGGTCGTTGTGGTTGTTGATGTGGCGGTTGATGTCGAAATCGATGTTGTTGTTGCATTTGTTGTCGTTGATGGAATTTTTTGCGCTGATCCATGAATTGCTGTCGCCAGTGTTGTTGATGTTGTTGGAAAAATTTTTCATTTTGAGGTCTCAGCTGCTGTTGCTGATGTTGTTGCAATTGTTGAGGTTTTCGCAACAGTTGATGTTGTTGCTGTTGTCTTGGACTAGCGAAATTATGCTGATTATTAAAATTTATCTGACACCTTTGTCTATTGGTGTTTTTTGTCGGTGTCGTTGATGGCGTTTTGTGATTGGTTGAAAGGTTTCGCTGCAAACCGGTAGCGGGCAGTGACTTAGACTTGGCCTGTAACTTTCTTACTTTCATAGGCTGGGGTTCGCAGTTCGGTTTTTTATTTTTAAATTTTGCCTCGTCAACGACGTTGGTGGTGGTTGTGGTGGTGGTGAGGCTCTTGTTTGTTAGTACACAATCGTTGTCTTCATCCTCATTGCCTTCAAGTATAAAACTCGGGTCGTTTTTTTCTTCTTGCTCTTCATCTGAAAACAAATTGTAAACAATCGACGACCACATTTATACAACAATAACAACAACAACAACATACAACTAAATATAACAACATACCAATAATTACAACAACATACAAACAAATACAACAACATACAAATAAATACAACAACATACAAACGAACGATCATTCAAACAAACAAACAAACATATGAACCTAATTCATCTTCAGTACTAGAAGAGCTATCAACGTATGGGCCAGCCATAAAAACTCTCCTACCAGACCTACAAATTGTCGTTGAAGTTGTTGATGATGACGTTGTTATTGCGGATGATGACGTTTTTGTTATTGTCGCTGCTGCTGTAGCTGCTGAATTAGTCTGCGTGACAGATGACGTAAAAATGAGATCACCATTGATGACGTCACCGTTATAAATGTCGTTGATGTTATTGTTATTATTATTATTATTGATGTTTTCACAATATTCATTGGCGTCATCGTCGTCGCTGTTGTAGATGATGGTGTTGTTGTCACCGTTACTGACAGCAATATTGATGTTGTTGTTGGTGTAGTAGCCATTGTAATTGTTGTTGTTGTTGTCGTTGATGTAATTGTTGTTGTTGTTGATGTAGTTGTTGTTGTTGTTGATGTAGTTATTGTTGTCGTTGGTGATGAAAATGCACGTTTTCGAAGTTTGCTTACTCAGTCTATGCCCGCTCTGTTCGTGAAAAAAAAATTAAATAATTTTTAATCCACCATATGGCGTGATGGTGTAACGGTAAAATGCTTGGCCTGGTACTGCTATCTATCGCGCAGTGACCGGATTCAACTGCAGAAGGATTCCAATCTATCACGGCATATACAATTACGGTGATGTCTTGTTTTACGTGTATTTACATGCACTGTGTGTTTGTTTGCTTGTTGATGATGCCTCTGGAAAATGTTGAAGAGAGAGAGATCACAACAACAACAACAACAACTACAACATCAACAAAAAACAACAACAACAATAACAACAAAAACAAACATAATAAAAATAATAATAATAATAACACCTCAGCTCTCTGTACCAGGCAACTCTTATACACGAGATAGTCAGACTTGAGCCTTTCAACGAAGCCTTCCTGAATGATGACGAAAAAATTATAATAATAATAATAATAATAATTATTATTATTATTGTTGTTGTTGTTGTTGTTGTTATTGTCTGGGATAATAAAATTAATGATACCATATTATTATTATCATTATTATTATAACTTGAAGTTTAATTATAACTATAGAATGGCATGTATAAAGAGTAAATTAGATAAAAACTAGTTATAGATGGTAGCTAAACCATCAAATTATAAATATTAATGAGGTGGTAATGAATATTAATGAAGAGGTAATGAATATTAACGAGACGACGTTACCTCATATTTCCCAGGCTCTTCTTCTTCAGCATCACCAATTCCATGAAGATTGTGATGATTATCATCATACAAATTGTTATTATTGTTGTTATTATTATTATTTAAATAATAATAATAATAATTATTATTATTATTATTATTATTATTATTATTATTATTATTGCAATTGACGTCAGTTTCAATTTCAGTTTCAATAACATCATTACGGCAGCTATCAAAACAGATGACGTCACTTTTATTATTCTTATTGTTACTACTGTCGTTATAATTATTATTATTACTGATATTAAGATTAATATTATTATTATTAGTGAGAGTGCTATCAACATCAGCATTTATATTGACATTGTTGTTGTTGGTATCATTATTACCCTTGTCGTTGCTTATGATGTTGCTGTTGTTGTTATTATCATCATTATTATTGTTATTATTATTATTGTTGTTGTTGTTGTTGTGGTTGTCGTCGTTGTTGTTGTTAATGTTATAAGCGTTATTACTGCAGTTAGGCCGCCTCCTACTTTTGTGACTTGTAAATATGAAGTCGTCATCTGTAACAAGTTGAAAAAAATGTAAGCACGCACATGTAGGTGCGTGTGTGTATTGTGTGTGTTTGTACGTGTGTCTATGTGTAAATATGTATGTGTGTATATGTATGTGTGTATATGTATGTGTGTATATGTATGTGTGTATATGTATGTGTGTATATGTATGTGTGTATATGTATGTGTGTATATGTATGTGTGTGTATGTATGTAAGCATTGCATATGCATATACCTGCTGTGTTGGACTGATTTGTTGGTGACCTCTCAACCTCCTCAATAAAAGATAAGAAGGATTCCTCGTCCCTATAAAATAAGAATTATAACAGTAATAAGAAGAAAAATGAAAAATAATAAGAATAATAATAACCTGATTATTATTATTAATATTAGTAGTAGTAGTAGTAGTAGTAGTAGAAGTAGTAGCGGTAGTAGTAGTAGTAGAAGTAGTAGTAGTAGTGGTGGTGGTGGTGGTAGTAGTAGTAGTAGTAGTAGAAGTAGTAATATTAGTAGTAGCAGTAGTAGTAGTGTTAATATAAGACTCAAGCCTCCAGTCAAATATCAAAAAGTTACCTCTAATATGAGAATAAATAATGAGAATGAAATAACAAACAAACAAATATGAACAATAATAATAGAATAATAGTAATAGCAAATTAAGTGAATTGATTTGATTTAAATTTTATTCATTCTACTACTTGACAATGAGCTGGCAGTAGTTCTCTGAGATCTGCTTGAACACTCTGACATCATTGGTGCAATCCTAATTTTTTTTTGTGGTGAAAACAATAATTTTATTATTCAAATAATAATAAGAAATTAAATTAGCAATAAATTAATAAATAAAAAAATTACAATCTACGACAGCTACTACTGCTGCTGCTACTACCGCTACTACTACTACTACTACTACTACTACTACTACTACTACTACTACTACTACCGCTACTACTACAACCGCTAATACTACTACTACTACCGCTACTACTTACTACTACTACTACTACTACTACTACTACTACTACTACTACTACTACTACTACTACCACTACTAATACTAATAATTGAAAAAATTATCTTGCCTTAAACATCCAATAAACATATCCCTCATAATCGGTACCGTATGGTCGAACCCTATCATGCGGTTGTGATAACATTCTCCGAAATTTTCTATTGTTCCATAGCATGTTCTCAAACAATGACTGCATGTATGTAATTGTGTGATTGTGTGAATAGACGTTTTTAGGTATGTTTGTGTGTATATATGTATGTGTGTGTGTATGTATATGTGTATGTATGTATGTATCTATGTATGTATGTACCAAGAGGATATGTAGCTTTAGATTAGGGTGATTAAATTTCAGGCCTCTCTTCTCCAGGACTTCAACATCTTCCACATTGCACCATTTGCATAGCTGTAGAAGGATAGCAATAAATTAACATAAATTATGCTAATGACGACGATCAAATTATGTAAATATATTTATTAGTCTTGTGTTAATGATGGTTTTGTTTGTTTATACTAATATAATTATATATGTCAGTTATATTATTATAACTCTATATGTTATTAATTTTTATGGTACACACACACACACACACACACAACACACAAACACATACACACACATTCACACACACACGAACACACACACAATAATTATTAAATTATAAATACCAACACTGATGATCCTCGTGACGAAAGATCCATCTCTAATGTTACCCTTCCTACCGGTTAAGACATGCAATTTTGATATGAAATTTGCACCTGAATTTTTTTTTAATTTGTGAAAATATGAAAAATTTTTATTAAACAATAATAATATTAATTATTATTAGTAGTAGTATTAGTATTATTATAGCTAAGACTGTCATTTGCCTTTGGAAAAACCATTCGCTATTTCATTATATCTCTAATAAAAATGAAAGAAATAAACAATAGGTTTTTCCACCTCATATATATATATATATATATATATATAATATAAACTTTATATCATATATATATATATATAGTATATATATATATATATAATATATATACAATTATTTATAAAGATCACTGCGTTTTCTACATTATTCAACTTGTAGTTGAGTTTCTCAATTTTTCTAACAAGACTTTTATCACCTTGATATATATATATTATATATTTATAAATCAACTCTATATTTTATAAAATTTGCAACATAAATCTTACAACTTGTACTGTACATGTATGTATGTTGTATATATTGTATTTTTATAGAGCTATAGTATAAAATTAGCTCTAAGTAATGTGTAAATTTAAAATGTAGCAAAATGCGGTAAATCATTTTATACAAGTAACATAAAAATATAATTGATAATAATTAATAATTAGTTATTATTAAAAATTTATAAAGTGTTTTAAAAAAATAAAAAGTTTCTATCCATAACAATAAATTAAAAAATAAATGAATGGTCTAATATATTGTTTCTATATAACAAAAATGAATGTCTTTTCAGATTCCTTTTTTAATTTAACTTAAACTTTGAAAAGGGATCAATCTTCAATCCAGGTGCCATTCTATGCCAATTTGGCAGACCATTCCAAACAACTGGTCCGACACAACGATATCAATTGAAGCAGTCCGCAGATCAGTAGATGACATTAGAAGCAGGCTGCTGCAATCGGATCTCAACTTTAAAAGTTTAAACCAGTTGAAAGAGCTGGTTTTTCTTTTGGATTTTATTTGCCAAATAATCTGGCAAGAGCCCATTTACAACACAGCCTTATGGCTTACACACCATTATTACACAGATTTTATAGATTATAATTATTTTATTAACTATTAAATTGATAAAGATTTAAATTAAATAAAAATTAATGAAGTTACTTAATTTAATTATTGAATTAATTAAGTTTAATAATTTAAGACAAGTAGTAGCACTTTTGGACTTACTCAAAACTTAGAAGTTTGCAAGTTTATATTACAATTTTGCAATAAACTACAAAACGTTACTTGGAACATCAGAGTAAACGAACTCCTCTATGGACCTGAAGTTAATTTTGGACGACTTAACTGACAGATAATTTTTAAACTGATCGATAAATGAAAAAACTTCTGAGAGCAGAACTCCGCTCATTTTTAAATGGACAGCACGTCAATAAAGAATTAAGTTAGCAACATTTTAAAAGTGTAAAACACACAACACACCATATATATAAAACAAGGGGAGGCCTATTTACCAGCATACAACACCTTCTTATGGGTTGAAGCAGGGATATGCAAAGAACCTCAATTTTTTCAACTTTTAATTATTTTCAGTAATATCTCCCCTTGCTCCAAACCACATAACTAGAATAATAAGACTAATCGATCAATTCGATCTATCGGTCGGGCTATTTGTCGTGCTTGGATTGTTGGCTTACGAAATTGCATGGATTTTAACGAGCAAGCTAAATGAAATATTTACTTGATTTAATATGCTTAAAACATTGTAGTAATTCTATTTAATTTTAATAATGATTAATAGAATTAGGTATTATTAAATTATTTTTGTTAATTTGAATATAAAAATTGCGTTTGGTCCGGTGAAATCCGGTGGCTTACTGAAGCCGAAGGTTGGCTTAGTAGGATTGAACTATAGTCACCCTTTTTTTTACACTATTCGATCATGTTAAAAATTGGTTTGCTTATGAAATAAACAGCCTAAATAAATCAAAATTGTTATTTGAACAACTATCTTCATTATATTCAATGAATATTTTACATTCTGCTGGCTGCTGAAATCATACGTTGGCTTACAGCAGTGGCTTACAGGGTTTCATAGAACTCTTACGATAGCACTTTTTTGTACATATAATACTTTAAATAAATCAATATATACATATCACAATTATTTTTGTCAGTATAAATGTAGAAATTGCTTTTGTCAGGTGAAAAACAGTGGCTTACTGAAGCCGTAGGTTGGCTTAATCGGATTTTTTCTCATGTATACAATACTATGAGATAAATCAATCAAAAAATCATTCAGTTGGTCGGTCGGTCAGTCAGCCAGCCAGCCAGCCAGCCAGCCAGCCTGTCAGTCAATCAATCAACCAAACGATCAATCAACCGATCAATCAATCAACTAAATTGAATGAACCAAATAAACAAAAATAAAAACAAAAATAAATAAAAAAAAATTGCAAGGCCTGTTCAAACTCGAACAGTTAACCGTACAGATCTACAAACAATTTCGAGATTTTAGTAAAGAAAGAAAAACACAGTAGTTGCTTTTATTTGAATTCATTCAAAAATGAAAAGTGACGGTTAATTAAAATTTTAAAATGTCAATTTTTTTTAAAAAATTCGTGTTTTAAATAAACAAATATAACAAAATATCGACCGATAAAAATATTATCCATTATTATTATTATCATACACACTCCTTAGAAGTTCTCGAAGGATAATAAACCATGTAACATGGACATTTAGTAAGAACAGTTCACAACATATCATAATGACTAAATCAACATACTAAACAGAAATAATTTATACATGCATATATACAAAGTAAATCAAGAAATATCCAAAAATTATATAACCAATTTAAAAAAAAACTAGAAACCAGTCAACATTAATGAATAAATAAATAGACATTATTAAAAAAATTGTTCAAAAAGGTACAATTTAAGGCGACGACGAGAATGAAATGTAGTTTGTTTTGTTGGTGTGGTGTTGTGAAGCAAAAACAAACACATCACACAAAACTAGTAAGAAGTCGCAAGAATAATAGTCAGTCACCTACCTATAATAAAATTACTCTCAGGGCCCTAGCTTATTTATTAACATTGACTAAACTCACTTACCTACAAATTTGTATTTCTCGTTTTAGATGTTTCAAGTATTTTATTTCACATATTTTAGCGTTTTTATTTTACTTGAAGCTTTTTAACTAATGTTAAGCCCTAACCTACCTACAATTGTTTAACTCATCTCAGTCCCTAACTTACCTATGAATTAAATTAAAGTCCGGTTCACGGTAAAGAAAATATAAAGTTGAAGAGAAACATAGCAACAACGACACCGAATGAATGGATGTTGTGTATGTATTGATGTGTGTGTATGTAAATGTGCGGGCGCGCACTCTCCAGAAACTTCACTCACTACCGACGAACCTCCATTACACCGACCATCATCTGACACACATCGATGGAATGAATTTGACCGGATACTGAAAAATAAATTGAAAAAAAAATTAATTCACTAAAATAAAAAACAAGCAATTGGAAAAAATAGGCAACTTATCTTTTTGAGATAACACTCAATCTTTATTCAAATTCGAATACTTTCAAAGGTACAATGAGACAAAAACAAATTTACCTTTAACATTATCTTCGATTTGTTATCGGAACGATCGTCATGAGACCACCATCTGAAACGTGCTGACGCCCACCACAGCCCACCTCTCATCATTCTGTAGACAAGTTTTTATTAATTAGCGAAGTAGTAAATCAAGAAACAAAGGAACGAACGAATAAATGATTAACTGAATGATTGAACGATTGGTTGAATGAATAAATTAACTAATTAATTAATCAACCAATGATTTAATGAAAGAATAGAATGAATCAATGAATAAATTAACTGAGGTATAATTTGAAAGATAGTGATAAAATGAATGAATGAATGAGAAAAATAAAAAAAAAGAAACTAAATCATACTTCAAAAACCGTCGTTGTTATCTTCGAATAGTCATCGGAACGATCATCATGAGACCTCCATCTGAAACGTGCTGATGCCACCACAGCCCACCTCTCATCATTCTGTAGACATTTTTTAATAGCGTATTAGTAAATCAAGGAACAAAGGAACGATCGAATAAATGATTAACTGAATGATTGAATAATTGGTTGAATGAATGAGTGAATGAATGAATTAATTAATAAATCAATGATTCAATTAATGAATAGAATGAATTAACGAATCAATTAATAGAAGAATAATTTAAAAGGTTGAGTGATAAAATGAACGAATGAGAAAAATAATAAACGAAACTAAACCTTACTTCAAAAATCGTCGTTACTCTACTCCATTGCACCGACCAGCACCATCTGGTTGGCACACAAAATACCATCCGAACTTCAGAGTGTCAGTCGAACAGCCAACGAGCTGATTTTTCCTACACCACCATCATCATATGTAAATCATCATGAGACCACCATCTAAAACGTGCTGACTCCCACCACTGCCCACCTCTCATCATTCTGTTAACAAAATTTTTTTATTTGCGTAGTAGTAAATGAATGTTAGAATCTTAGAAGCAAAAAAAATTAAATTATAAAATGAAAATTATGTCAAATAAATAAAATTTTAAAATAACAAAGTAAGTAAAATGTAAAAAAACTTACCGTCGACCATTCGACAAAGGCAGAATGTTGAATGCGGTCCGGTTCCTACGTTGTCCTCCCAAACTGGTGCCAGTCCTCCTCGAGGTTGTTGTTGAAACACAGCCCGTGTTGATGGAGAAAGATAAAGAGTAGATTCTCATCAGAAAGCTTAGCGGTGCCTGCATCTCAAATTGCTTAATAAAAATAATCCTATCTACCTATTCAATTACCTTAGCTAATTTATATTAAATTGTTAATGGTACGAAAGTCGAAAGTTCTCCTTCATTCTCCCTCCTTGCACAGAGGTTCACCGACAGCCAGGGCACCGGATAGTAAACCATTGCCGTCCGGATAGTAGACTATTGCCGTGCGGATAGTAAACCATTTGCCGTCCGGAAGCCGTGCGGGTAGTAGACTATGGCCATACCGCATAGTAAATCATTACCGTGTAGATAGTAAACCATTGCCGTCCGGATAGTAAACCATTGCCGGTTCACCACTGGCCACCAAGGCTTACCTCTGACAAGGGACTTCGAAATTCAGAGTCTATCGTACCCTTAACTTACCTATTCATTACAATTAAGCCCTAGCTTACCTAAAATTACAAAACTCAAGAGCCCAATTCATTGGCCTTTCGGCACCCACCCCACCACCTACGTAATGCCTTGGGCTCCAACTTAGTAATAATAATATAAAACTTAAACCCTAAATCTATTAATGAGTATGTGTTACAACGTAGTTCAAATTTTTCGGAGAGAATTCAAAATTGTTTGAGACCACACCTTGCTTAACATCCGATTCCAAGCCGAGCCAAGCCAAGCTGAGCCAATATGCATAGATTTATAAGCGCTTTTATGTTAAAATTTTGCTCGCTATATTTATATATTTTATAAATTCATTATAAAAACAACAGTAATCATTGCTATATATGTACGCACGCAGTTCAAATTTTTCGGGGAGAATTCAAAATAGTTTAAGACCACACCTTGCTTAACATTCGATTCTAAGCCGAGCCAAGCCAAGCTGAGCCAATATGCATATATTTATAAGCGCTTTTATATTAAAATTTTGCTCAATTTTTAAACGAATATCCCAATATAACAAATTCTCCATCCTATTTTAATTTTCTTTGATGCTTTTTAATCAGTCAGGTTACAAAAATCATTATCGATATCACAATGAAATCAATTTGAAATTTTTTTTTAATTATTGACAATATCCCTATACTCATTGAATAGAACTATTTTGTTTTACAATTACATATATTTTATTTTATAGACTATTATAATTTATAATGCTATCATGGATTACCATTTTATTATTAAAAGCAATACTTAAGAAATGCACAAGTTTCTGTAACAGTTTATAAAATTTCAGATTTCCTCAAAATGTAAAAATGCAAAACGATTGGATTAAGTGCATCAGACAGGAAATAAATGATTTCAAATGGCTTCCATCAAAAAATGCAAGAATAAATTTCTGTAATAAAGATTATAAGGGTTATGATGAAGAAAGGAAGGTAATGCTGAAGAAAGCATTCCCATGTTTTCAAGTTAGTTATATTTATATGTCATCAGTTACACAAGGAAGCAATTCACATCATCATTGTACATTGCAACATTCTTATCTATACAAAAAATATAAAATGCATTCACCAATATTTCATGTATTTTATTAAAACTTAGAAAGGGCATAATGACATTGTGAATAATAAACCCTGCTTAGGACCGGGATCATCATCATCATACCAATCACCGTTACAAGTAGAGTC